GTGCAGCGCGCTCGGCGGGATCTGCGGGACAAAGGGATGATGCTCGTCCTGCGCAGGACCGAGCAGGACAGCGAGACTTCATCACACTACTCACGATGGCGTGCTTTTTAAAACTCATGAATTGCTTATTTCTGAAATTTTTAACATTTTTGGACTAGAGCTGGCTTTGGGTAGCTGAAGCCACAAAAAGCGAAACCACAAATGGAGAGGAGCAGGGGAGGTACTGTGTGATAGAATCCCTTCGAAATCAGCACAGATAAAACCTTTCAAAAAAATAATTCAAAGAAGGTTTTTATATTTTAATGAAATTAACACTCCAAGAAGACCACATTTACTCTATCCAGAATTAGAAGGGAAATTTCTCTTCCATATCAGAATTTAACCTCTACTGATAAAATATCTTCTTGAGTAGTTCGCTAGGTTATGGTAAATAATATTGGGATAGAATTTTTCCAGTCCTGGCTACTAAAGAATAGTGTAAGTAAAACTGCACGATAATTTGCTCATTAGCCTATAGTTAATCAAAAATTGGATTTTTCAGAGGCAGCTTTTTTTTCCCCTCACATACCGAAATTGGAGAAGTAGTAGGAGAACAGGGAGAGTTAGAACAAACTGATGGCATCACAAGCCAGAATACAAATATTGAATATGAGAAAATCTGAATTGGGAGCAGGCAAACTACAAGTAAGCATAGAAACGAGAAACAAAAAAAGCAGTTAAGACCCACGGTGTCACTAGTCAGAAAACAGGTAAATCAAAGATCAAAGAGGCTGCGTCCAACAGAGTGACTTCCTGACGTGAAAATATAAGCAAAGGAAATGCATATACTTGTTTGTTGTAGGTGGTATTTTGTTTGCCATTATTTACCACCATCTTCCTTTTAAAAAGATGAGGTATTCTTCTGTAAGTTACCATTCTTCCTGAAGGGGGCGTATACCTCCTCCCCTCGGTCCTATGGTGTTGGCCTCTTAACACGCTTTGCCGATTGCAATGTATAAAGTGTGCTCATCTGAGTAGTTTTATGCAGCGTTAGGAGCTTCTTCTCGGACTCTTGATTGTTCCCTCTGCCACGAGAATAGGAATGTTGTGTATAGGTACTTCTCCTTTATTTAATTTTTAAATTTATTTTTAATTTATTTTTTGCATGGAACTGGGGTGTAGGCCAGAGGTGAGGCGGTGTGTGAGAGAGAGAGAGGATTCACCAGAGACAGAGTGGGCAGCAGAACAGGTGGATTTATTGACATACACTGCTAAGGGGGGCAGTGGAGAAGACATAAGAGGTCTGCTGTGCCATGTGGGTTAGCTCCCTGGGGGATCGAACTCAGGCCATAGCCTTGATGGCGATGAGACTTAACTCCTATGCCACCAGGGAGGCCTGTGGTATTTTCTTTTAACCTGGGGCCCAGAAAGTGAAGACATTTGGAGCAGAACCATAGCTGACCACAGGCTACATGCCACATGAATCAGAAAGAAATGTTTTATTGTTGCAAGCTCCTAAGATTCTGTTACTACAGCAAAATAGAAATTGGTACCTAGAGGTAGGAATGCTGTTATGTGGCCCTGTCTTCATCATCAGGGAGTAGTTGGCAAAGAAACTACTATTCAAAGCTAGAAAAATGGTCACCTATGCTATACAGAGATCAAATATTTGGTGACATTGTCACCTGCAAGAGCTTGAATAACACGTAATAAATCTAGTAAACTTATGGTTTATGGGTGAAAAGAATGCAAAACAAAATGTTGCTAGTGTACCTTGGTCACTACTAGCTGCTAGATTTAACAAGATTCTACAAAAGAGGCGAGTTCAAAAAAAGAACTTGCCTGCCTACATGCAGGATGCAAGGGAAAATAAAGAATGCAGAGATATTAGTTGCCAGCCTGAAAGCTACAACTGTTTCTTCTCTCAACTGCAGATGAAATTGAAAAATACTCCAAGCAACAGAGGGCAAATAAGATTCAGTCTGAAGCAAAGAAATGGCTCAAGAAAAAGAATATGACTCCATAAAAGCCTGGCAAGCACAAAGTTCCACCGACAAAAAGAACAAAAATCAAGGATATTTTTGGAAACAGTTGTACTGTCAAAAGCACCACTATTCTCAGTTTTAAAAAACTGTTAAACACATAAAAATCATCTTTGGGCTGCACTCATCTGGGAACTGGACGGCTCAGTCTGTCTGACCTTAACAAAGAGGACGGAACTCAGGGCCCTGGGCGCTATGGAACAGGCTGTCTCTCACTTGACTTCTTCCAGCTGAATCAATCGACCGCTCTCCGTTTTTTTCTGCCTCTCCCTCTACTTCTTTTACTACAGTCTTAGGACCTCTGATTCTCCATAAGGTTTTTCCAGCAAGATTGTCAAAATTCCTATGTTGTGGCTTAGGTCATTCCAAACATACAGAAGGGGAAGCTGCCAGATCTGTTAGGTCCAGAAATGGTATGGCATAACTTCTGTCATATTCTATTGATTAAAGGTGACACAAGGTCAGTCCAGATTTAATGTGGGAGGGGAATATACAGACCTGAATACCTGTAAGTATGATTAATTGAAGGTCATTAGATGACCTCCAAAGATGTTTGGAGACCAGCTACAACAAGGTACAATAAATATTTATTAAATTAATTAATGACCTTTTACTGTAGCAGAATACATTGTGGTAGAGATCGACACAAGCATTCACCCATGATTTTCACATGCTATTCCAAACACCATACCAAAAAAGGACCATGAGCCAGAAGTAAACCTCTTGGCAAAATATTTTATTTAAAGGATTCTTATTCCATATGATAGCTTTTATAAGGAAAAAGTAAACATGAGGAAGTAGGTAGATGGAGAACAGTAACTGAAAAACTAGGATTTAGCCAGATCCCCACAGAAGAAGTAGGAAAACCAAGTCCCAAGTTACAGTCCAAGTTTTAAGACCTAACACTAACTAGGGGTTTGATTTTGGAAAAGTCTCTAGACTTCAGTTTTCTCAATAGTGAAAGGAGATTACAGGAAACTTCAGTTTTCAAATATTTTCTATATTTTACACATAGAAAAAAGGAAGTGGTGATGTGGGTGAGGGGTTAAGATAAAGAGAGTGTCCAATCTTATTTTCAGCATGCCTCTGTTTTAATTACTAAATTTTCTTTAGAAAAGGACATCACTTAAACAAATGGTTCTGCAAAATAAATATTTGTAAATGCCAGAGCTGGCCAGCCCTCCACATTTCACGTATGAGGAAAATCTATTTTTTTATAGGTGACCCACTACCTGCCATAGTTTCCTGTGCTTAAATGAGGCCCCATTTGTAGCGGATGAGAAATTTAAGCTGAATAACTACATGAAGATGTAATTTGAACTCAGAAGCTAAGTAGTAACAATTACTAAGTAGAAAATGCAGAGAAGAAAATTTGGTTCAAATTTCCTACCCATGTTAATATTATGTAAGTATGTGATAAGGGAGAACAGGCAAATAAAATATTCTCAACATCACGATATATTATACACAGCATCTTGTAGGACACAAGGGTTCAATTCAAAAAAATGACTTTTCTTGAAATCTAAATGGTATGTTTGTTGTTTTCCACAAAAACCACTGACTGGAGGTTTACATCTGGGATTCACTTGCTTAGTGTAAAAAATTTTAAGAACACAGGAACTAATAATGTTCCAGTGATTTCTAAAGAGTTCTCTCTGTTCCTTCTGAAAGACTTAAATAATTGCCAAATAAACTGCTCTCATATCTTTAATAAATGAAACACTTTATTCTTCTAGCTCCTATTCAAGATAGATATTAAAACTGCCTGTGCTAAAAGTGATATATCTATATCTTTTATCTTTAAATGATGAATACAATCATTTGACTGCCTGCCATCCTCTTCAAAGATCTTTCTGTTGACACGCAATCAGCATAACATTTCCTGGTCGCTGAAATCTACGGATTTTTTTTTACACTGATGCTGTAAAACAAGACAACTTCCTCTTGCAGATTTCATAGTCATAGGAATCTGTTCTCTGATTTCAGATTAACATGAATCTTTTTTCTACTGAATATTTAATTAACGTTTAGGAGACACTGGCAGACTTTGATAACTTGACAACTTTAGATCATTGTAGTTAATTATCTCTTCCTCTGCTCCATTGAGATACGCCAAACTTAGGTTGAAGAGAATTCAGGGAGTAATCCCTTTAGGTGCCAGTTACTCATAAGGAGGTATGCTGCATGGGTATGGTGCCTGTATCTGTTAAGGGCTGACCAGGGAAGCAGGGCTACTATGAGCAGGGTGTATAAGGGAGTTATTCATAGGCTCCAGACCTCAGAAACTTTGGGAGAAGCTCAAAAAATTAAGTTCCAAAAGGGACAGCTCAGAATCTGGGTAAAGTCTCTAAAGCCACAGAGGGGAACTGGTGCAGATCATGGGAAGCTGTTGGCTCTACTTTTGGGCATGGGCTGAAAGTTACTATAAGTTAACAGAGCAGGTAATTGGGAATATGAGCCAAGAGCAAAGTAGGAAGAGCAAGGACAAACAGATACCCATGTTGTCTGCTTCTCATCACTTCAAATCTTGATAATGTGGATGACCCAAAGGAGCTAGGAACTTCCCCCTTAAAGTTTCATATATTTCTGGACCAGGTCACAGAGCAGCTTAAAGAGATCTGGCAGGAGTTGAAGGAGCTGAGTGTGAAGGAGCTGCTGCCCCACCACATGCAGCTGCTGTCAACAGATTGGGGACAGCAAGTAGGAGGGGCACCTGAGACTCTGCACTGACCTTACAAAAGTAAATGCTTCTGATCAACTCCTCTGCTTTTCAAATCTAGGCAGATTTCTCATGTGATCAGCCCTTATCAGGAACCATACAAAGAAGAGAATTCTGGGAAAACAATAAAAATTACCACAGCACCCAGAAGTCCTTTTATGTGAATTGATTCTAAAATAAATTTAAGACTCTCAGAGACACACATATTTATTTAATAATAAAGAATAATTTAAATTTATTTAATCTTTTACATTATTTATTTTTAAATGAAATACCTTTTTCTTACATCAATGCCACCATGTCCATCTTCAGAATTGTATATATCTAAGCTGTAATTATGAATATGCACTGAGTTCAAATTCTCACAGAGCTCTTTCATGCAAATTAGGGTATGAGGTATATCACCTCATTCTACGTGTGTGCAAACCCAACTCAGATCCGAGACTGACAACATTCCTAATACATTTATAGTGTCCCTACAGGTATCTCTGCTCTCATCAAAGAATTCCTCCAGGGAGAGAGTAAGAAGGTCAGCTTTGCCTGAAGCCCAGTCTTGGACCCCAGGAAGGGACATGCTGTCAATATAATGGCACTAGGTTCCATTCTCTCCCATTTACCAGATGCGTTAAGACTGGGTCAAGCACTAAGTTGATTTAATAGAGTTTTCTGGAAATCACAGCTTTTTTAACCATGTTCCCATCATGTTGGAAACATTCTGCTAGGATATCTTCTCAGTAGTGGCGTTTGCTAACAGCTAACTGCTAACATATTATCCCTATGATACGGAGCCTGGCTAGCTCAGTCAGCAGAGCATGATCCAGCCTTATGATATGGAGAAAAGACACCAATAGTTGGAATAAAAGATAGAAGCTTGGGTTCTGGCAGCAGAAGTCTCAATATAGAATATAAAATCCAACTTACAGGGGTGTTGTTGTGAAGTGTAAATGAGATAATGGAGGTTATACACTCACCCATAATGACCTCTGACCAGCCCATCACCCAGCTCTTTAGTTACAAAGAAGCTTCTCCTTATTCAATTGGGCTTTATCAGTATTTGTAGGACTGTATAGCCTTTTCAGAGGCTGCCTCAAATGACATAGAACCACTATTCCCTTCCACAAAGGCCCTGTTGTGGACCTGTTCCACTATCTGACTTCCCCTTACTGTGAGGTGGGAAGTCTTTCCATATATATGGTAAGAGTTTCCTTTTTCTCCCTCTCTCAGGGTCCTTGCTATCCCTCCCTATAGTTCAGCTTTACATTACTCAGAATCAGGAGGCTATCATAAAGAAATAAATGCCAAAAGATAATATTATGTAATAAAGGTAAGAAAACTATGTGACTTCATTTTCCCTACTTTTTTTCTCCCTTAAAGTTAGTGCAAGTGTTGCTTACGGTAAAATGCAAACATATAACCAAACATACTTAATAAAAAATTAAAGCTAATGTCTGCTATATTTACATTTATACTGCAGAGAAATAAGAATGTGAAAGCTGCCATCATAATCAATAGCAGTTGTTAGGCTTATAAAATATTTTGTGCATGTAGATTTCATTTTCCTTCCATCTTGTCCTCTATCCTGATCTCATCAACCTTAGTGAGCAGACAAAAGCAGAGTTTAAACTCTGAAGGACATTTGGCCAATAGATTACAAACAATCAAAAAAATCAACTTTAATTTAAACCATTAAGCTTACTACAGACTGACCAAGATCAGAACTTCTTCAAACCAAAACTGGAAACTTTTGGTTTATAACTATAATTTTCTAAGATGCAACAGCATTTCATGAAGATGTTGCCTGTTTCAAATACTGAATAAGATCTTCTCTCTCACTCTTCTTTTTAAGACCAGCAAATATCATTTTGGTTCCAGGGATATATTTCTTTGGGTTCTCCAAATATTCCATGAGAGTAGCTTCTCCCCAGATAATACCTATAAAGGTGAAAGTAAGTCTCAAGTTTATGTAGTTATAGTTATAAGACATTTTTTGATGCAAACCACATTATGTGAACAGAGGAATACTCCTGAACTCAGCAGAAAGACAATTACAGCCAGGAATACTTACAGTTTCTGACTTTAAGAAAGTCCCCAAATTAGTCTTTGGTATTCTACTCTTTGCTTTTTCTGTAGAAACAAAATACTCACATGCTGTTCAATATTATCCAAAGTATACCAATGAGCTATCAACCCAGGCATGTTATACCTAAGAAGTATCCCCTCCTCCTAGAATAACATAGAGGTTCTTCTAGAAAAGATCTTAAAGTTGATCATTTAACCAATCCCTTATTTTTCAGATGATTAAATGACATAAAGAGGGAGGAATAACTTGTCCTAATGTGCCAAAGTTTCTTAGAGTCAAGAATCTGTGACTACTAGCTCACATATCCATTTTTTCCCCACCAATCATACCATGTTGCCTTTGTCCACATGTCTATCAAAATCTATAATTTCAGAAATCTGATTTTAAGCTGAGAAAAGTTGCTTCTACCATTTTTCATTTCCGAAACTATTCAAAAAGAACATAGGCAATGAGAAACAAAATGCTAACTCTATTTTCGATAAAAAAAAATTTTTGGAAGCACCTATAACCCCAAACTTGATATAATTAGAAGACCATCAAGGCCATAAAATCTGACCAAAGTAACAATCCACTCACCATTAATGATCTTGGAAAAAAGAAAAGAGTTATCCAAAGTAGGTAACAAATTCTGAAGGGGAAAGTCATAATGCTTTGTTTGGCTCAAAAAGAGTAAAGTGTATATAACTGGCTCTGAAAGTCTCCCTCAATTCAATCTAACATCATGGAGGACCAGGGGAGCCAGGAATAGAGAAGAAAATACAGACATGCCATCTTTAAAAGAAGAATTTTACTTTGTTATAGGACAGAAGGGAAACTAATAGTGTTGAATAACCCTAGAACTGCCAGTCTATATCATCTGAGGCTAGGGGCCAAAAAATCCCCCACCAAAATATACACACCATACACACATACATACACAGATACATAAACATATCTCTAACACATAAATGTAAACAAGGAAGACTTCATAACTAACTGGAAAACTCAAATATTCACTCTTATTGTTCCGCAAATAATCCAGTTCAAAAGGAGTTGTCCTCACCAAAAGATTTGTAGATAATCAAAAAGCAATCAGCACAAAAGAGAAAGTATTTAAAGTGCATATACACAACATACATACATATAACAGAAAGGAATACAAAAAAGTTAAAATAAAAGGTATACATCAGAAATAATATACATTAAGCAGATGAAAATCATGATCACATTCTATGGATTAAAGAAAAGTCTGTATGAATCAGAGCTACAAAGGCTTAAGAACAAAATGATAAAACAGAAAGGCAAAAATGTCAGCAAAAAAGAACAGATACTGCTGATACCATAATCAAACTTGAAAATATCGAAAAACTAGTTTACAATGATCAAAGGGAAAATGACAGATACAAAAGATAACTAAATGGAGACCCAAAATATATACAATAATTGGCCCACGAAATGGGAAAAAATTATTAAAACATGTAATTCAGGAAAAAATTCTAAAATAAAGGTCCTGAAACTTTCAACTGGAAAAGCACATGTCCCAGGAAAATTTGGAAGGCAGTTATGCTCATCACTATGCCATCAACATTGCACCAGTAAAGTCTAAAATAGATCAACAAAACTTATACACAACCAGGCAAAGTTACCAAATTTCAATAAGAATTATACTGTGGGCCTCCCCGGTGGCACAGCGGTTGAGCTCTGGGTTGCGAAGCTGCCCGCAGCCGCTGCAGCACAGGTTCGATCCCCAGCCACCAAGTGAGGGTCCCATATGGCACGCAGACCTCTCCTGCTGCCCGCTGCTCCCCTCAGCAGTGTACTTCATCAGTCTGCCTGCTCTGCTCTCCGCTCTGACTCTGGTGAACTCTCTCACCCTCCCACGCTTCTGACTGTACTCAGTGCTTGTATAAATAAATAAATTTAAAAAAAAAAAAAAAAGAATTATACTGAAACTTAGGGGGAAAGAATAAAATAAAAATATGTAACTTACAGTGGAAAAAATTAGAATGGCTCTAGAGTTTTCTAAAGAATGAAGCACACAAAATCTTAAAGAACTAAATGTGTCACCCAATATTTCATGTCTAAACAAGTTATAATTCAAGTGTAATGGGAATCCATGGATGTTTTCAAACATTGAAGAACTAGGGTAATCTAGTTCCAATAATCCTTTCTTGGCATAACTACTTATAGATAACCTTCCACCAGCCAAAAGAGAGACACTACAATAAAAGCTGGGAATATGTGGCCTTCTTGGTGGCACAAGGGGTTAAGCACCACACTATGAAGTAATCGTCGCCTCTGCAGCAGGAGTTTGATCTCTGGCTGGCCAGGGAGCAACCCACATGGCGAAGCAGACCTCTCCTGACTCGCCCGCTGCTCCCCGCCGCAGTGTATTTCGGTTGATCTGCCTGCTCTGTTCCCTACTCTGTCTCTGGTGAATTCTCTCACTCCCCAACACCTCTGGCCTGTACCCCAGTTCTTGATTGCATAAATAAATCTTTTAAAAAAAAAAAAGCTGGGAATAAGCATAGATACCATTTAAATGTGGGACAAAATATTAAAACTACTGTGGTAATTAGGTCATTAGGATGTAAATCAGATCAGAAATATGTAGAAAACACCATATAACTAACAAGAGTTAAAAGACAATGTGAAAACAATGGGTGATTATTTACTCGTTTCGATTATCTCATTCTTCAGAATGCAGGAAAAGCACATGTCCCATATACTATACTACTTATAGTACATAAATGAAATAATGGGGGCATATGGATATGACTTAAAACATAAATATGGCCACAAAAATGACAAAGAATAATAGCTACCTCACTCTCAAACCCAATAAAAGCAAAACAGGGAATTCCGTAGAGACAGAAAGCAGATTAGTGGTTGCCAAGGATTAGAGTAGGAAATGGGGAGGAATTACTTAATAGCTGCAGGGGTTCTTCTGGGGTAACAACAATGTATTAAAACTACACAGAGATAGTGGTTGTACAACATTGTGAATGAACAAAACATTACTAAATTGCATCATTTCAAAATGACCAATTGTATGTTGTATGAATTTTTTCACAACAAATAAAAAGAGATTAAAAAATAAAATCCTTTCTAAACAGTGATCTGAATTCAGGCCTGTAAGAAAAGGTAGGGCCCCCAAGAAGAGTTTGTTATAGAGTTGTACAATATTTATGAAGTGAATGCTATTGTGGGGTAGATGAATGGATGGATAGATGGGTGGGTGGATGGATGATTGATAGATAAGATAGGTAGATTAGATAGATATAGATTAACTAGGTAGATGAGACAGAGCTATCCAAGAGTATTATATTACTTCTCCAAACATTTTTAATTTCTACCCTAAAATGCTCATTTTAAGTGTGATCTATTTACCTACTTTCCACCAATAAAGACATTACTGAATATATTTTTAAAACTATATGACATTCCCCCCACCTTTCCAAGAATCCCTACTATAAATAGAAAATAATTATACCATTAAAATATTATTTGATATTTTAATTTACCTCATACTTTTCAAGATAAATGAAATACCTCTTGTATAGGCAAAAAGCTAAGTGACAGAGAAGTGCTAATTTCTCTGATCAAAAATATGACCAGTTAGTCAATGCAGCCCTTATGATATAAATCAATATTTCAAGAATATAAACATGAAGATTTCACTTTTAATGCTGCAAATTAGGAAATTATTACAATATCAAATTGTATGCTTTCTTTGCTACAAAATTTTTGGTTTTCACTTACAATTATTTTTTACCTTTGCTTTTGTTTGCATCAGTATAAGAAAATCCTGGTGCTTGTCCTGATTTTTGGCCAAAAAGACCCCAAAGATTTGGACCAGTTTTGTGTTTCCCACCTTTTTCCACTGTGTGGCACTGAGCACATTTCTGAATAAAGATCTTCTTTCCTGCTTCAGCATCTCCCATTTTGTTCTGCAATGAAACATTAAAACACAGACCAAAGGAAAAAAATATTAGACTTGTGACACTGGGAAAAAAGGAATTTCACCACCTCGGCAAAGTGGATATCAATGATATTAAGCAAAAACATTGCAAGCATGAATGTTATAAAATCTGGGTATTCAAAAACATAAATTGATCCTGGTATCTAATTTTATAAAGATTTAATCATCTCATTTGTCAGGTTTATTTTAAATTTCTAATCATAGCTACTTCAGAAACTGCTATTGGGGTAAGACTGGGTTTACCTCAGCCTTCAAACAATTAGAGTAATTTATGAGGTCATTTTCTCTTTTTCCCTTTTCACTTCCCAAAGGTGCACATGCAAAAAATGATGTGAAGCATATGGGCAATTTGGTACCTCTTACTAAAAACAAAGATAACAAATTGGAAAAGTGCTGAAGTATGGTATTTATTGAGTACTTATAACCGCAAAATTAAAAATCATACAGAAAATAATGAAGCCAGCACAAACTATATGTTACATATTATTTCATACTTAGTTTATACTCTCAGCTATAAACAAATCTAACAGACTAGATCAAGTGTTACCTGAGAGTAATCAGAAATAGAGTTCAGTCAGCATCAGCATATGTTTAATACTAGTGCATCGGGAATTATATGGTTCTAAGTAGGGAAATTTTATTGTATGGTGATATATACGGTTACTTTTGTGAAAAAAAAAAAGATTTTTTTGGTTAAGACTGCCAAAAATTGTGTTATATAACTAAATAAATGCATGCTCCATCAAAAATTATGTAAAAATTAAAATAATCCCAACTTACAAGAAATGTAGTTTGAAATGCCAATGAATGCATTACTAGGGTTTAGTTTTCTGCCTCTTTATTTTCTTTTTTTTAATAAAATCAGATTTAATTGGTTCAACAGTGGGCAGTTTTCCAGTAAATTCTATTTTATTTTTTTTAATTTATTTTATTTTAACAACTGCCTCTTTATTTTCTTTGAAGAATGGGTGCTAGGGAAGGTGGGATGAGGGTGGACTTCAACATGAGTTATGATAATATAAATCATGAAAATACCTAATTCTCTGACAATACAGTTCTAAGCAAAATTTTATCTTTTATAACACTACTGAGAAATAGAAACTCTTTGTTAATCTGAAAATATTGAAAAACATAGTATTTTATATAATACTATATTTTTCAATAATTGAAAATGTAGTATTTTAAATTAAAGTTAGCATTACTCAGAAAGGGGCTAGTACTTCATATATAACAACCTAGAAGTTAGTATCTCCCTAATTTATTTCAATCTATGTGAAAATCCAACACATTGTCAATATTCCATGTAAAGGGAAGTGAGTAGTTTTCTTCGGACAATAGCCAAAACAACTAAGCTGCTATTCAGTGTATTAGGTCTGATTAAAAGAAAAGTAAGAAAACTCACTTTGTTTAAGAGAAGCTTACTTTAAAATTGCAAACTTCATTCAAAATACTGCATTCAATTTCTGCATATAAGTTCTATCAATTCTCTCACCAGGTAGAGAATTCAGTGAACATCTGAACAGGAGTCATAGCTGAGAAAGTGTTGGTCATAAAAATAAAGTCATGGCCTTTAAGCAAAATACATTCACTATAACCATAAAGCTTGTATAACATAAAAACAAAATGATTGTTTCAGTACTAACTAAAGATTCAATACTTTCATTAAAAATAGAAAGATCAGGGGCCTCCCTAGTGGCACGAGGGGTTAAGATGCAGCAGTATGAAGCAATCCACAGTCACTGAAGCACAAGTTCAATCCTTGGCCAGGGTGATGACCCACATGGCGCAGCAGACCTCTCCTGACTCACCCGCTGCTCCCCTCAGCAGTGTATTTCAGTAGATTTGCCTGTTCTATTTCCCACTTTGTCTCTGGTGAATCCTCTCACCCCCTGCACCTCTGGCCTGTACCCCAGTTCTTGTATGCATAAATAAATAAATCTTTTTTAAAAAATAGAAAGATCAGATTGATCTTTACACCAATTAAATGTTGCTGATATCCAGGAAACTAGTTTTTAGAAAAGTAAAAACAAACTTTTTATGTATATGGATGTCACATGAAAATAATTTATAAGAAAATTCCCATTATCACTGTTCAAACTACCAATATTTTATCACAATTAAAACACTCATTGCCATTTTAATCACTGCCATGCAAGCACTTTTGACCCTTTCTAGTGCATTAAATCCAAAGGATTGAGCAATGGCAGCAAGAGAAGAAGCAGGAGGAATTGGAAGGATATGAACAGAATTCATTTTGCCTTATAATCATTTGGCATTCTTCTAGTATTTAGTAATTAGGAAGAAATATCTCAGCGAAACAGGCAAAGATGTGACATCTGGTATGAGAATAATCATTCATCCAAGAATGAAGTAATTCCAATGCTAGATTAATGAGATAAGAGTAGCAAACCCTTATGCATACTTACTCTACGCCGACCTAGTCTAAACTCTATAAAGAACTTATTATTAATGTGTTTAATCCTCACACCAGTCCTGTGAAATGAATACTATTAATCTACTTTTACAGATGAGGAAAATTAGGCACATAGAGGTTAAGTAGCTTGTTTAAAGTTACAAGTTGGTGAGAAGAGGATAGAATGGTGAAAGGCAGGGAATACTAAATAAATAATTCTAGAAATGTTATTTTAACAATTACCTTTGAAGAGTGTTCTAGGCAATCCTGGATTGAACACAATGTCTGACACATTGCAGACGCTTAGCTGAGTGAGAGTGCTTAAAGAGGACCAACCGAAAGACTTTTTAATAGTGGCCCCTATCATTGCCATTTCTAACTCAGCCAGTAAAAAGAATGTGATAAGAATAATCAGGGCAGGAATAAAGCTTTTAGAATTTACAACATCTACAAAACTGAAGTGACATAAAATGAAAGGGGAAAGCTCATGAGCCTATTTCAAAGATGAATACTACACACACTTAAAAAGATTAAGTGGGATTCGGGGTGTTGTAATGGAAAAAGAACGGAAGCGATGTGCATCATAACCATGTGACCCTGGGTAAATCACTTCAAGGCTATGAACGTCCTCACCCTTCAGATGGCCTTCCCCTTTCTAATGAGCCGTGCCTGAACCCCTGAGCTGCAACAAGAATCCCAGTTCTCAATCTGTGTTCCTCCACGCCGCCACATCCCCGTCAAGGTTTACTTCTCTGCCATCAGCGTGGACAGCTCTACTCAGAACCAGTCCCAGCCAGAAATCAGAGAGCCCCGCCTAGAAATAAGCTTCTGTGGCATTTTGGGAGGACCTAAGACCCACCAGGCTGGGGCCAGGCAGCTCCTTCTACCAAAAGGACAGTTGGATACTCCTCTCTGGGTGGACCCAGGCCCAAACCGCCTCAGCCCAAAACCAGATCTCAAAGCTGCCGGGCCTCCTCCCTCCTAGGCATTCCCACACCTACCACAGGGCCGGCAGCTCCTCCTCCGCGTACCCTGAACAGGTACCAGCGCCTGCACCCCAAAATCAAGGCTGGCAGCACCTCTAAATCGCGTACCGCAGGCCAACGGACACACGTACTTCCGGCGGCAGCTCCGCCCAGTGGTGGGACCGGCTGGGTCAGCGGGGCTGATTGGGCCCCGGGTCCTGCAGGAGCTCCAGGGTCCAAAGAGCTTAAGGCCTCGCGCATGTGGCGCAATCCAGTCTGTGGCTGCGTCTGTGGCTGCGTCTGTGACCACGCGAATGCGCTTCTAGCATCGTGGTCCCAAGACCAGCTGTTTGTTGAAGTTTACCTTGCCAGAGTTCAATATGCTGTGTATATTCACAGTGTGTATCAGTTCTCATTTGAGGAAGGAACTTGACATTTTATGAATGATCCACTGGCATGTGATCACAGAAAGCAAGTCATGTCAACAAAAGAATAAAACCCATACTGACTATGTATGGGTAAAGGCACTGTGCCAAGCAACTTGCAAATACATCCAGCCCACAGCTGTAATTTTCTGTGAGTTACTATCCAGCTAGGGTAATATATAAATACGTTGAAAGTTAAATCACTATAAATGAACAACATAAAAAATACAATTATCAAAAACTGACCCCAGGGTTGTAAGCTGCTTACTAATTGACAAGAGACTGGAATAGAGGATGACTAGAAACAGAGGGGAAACGAGCCCTGAAGGAACTAAGAGGGTGGAAGGAGGGACTGAGAAAACTACAAGGGGAGGGTCTTGAAGTGCGAAAGTCAAAGCTGTGTTTTGAGAAGGTAGCTTACCTATGGCTACATAATTAGTTTAGTGAGATGTGAATGGTGAGGATGTGATTGAAAAATAAGAATATTAAAATAGCTTTTTTAGTTGTTCAACAATCAAGGTACTTGGGAATGTGACAGTGAATTTTTTTGTGCATTAGATAAGGGGAGATTTACCCAACATTTTTGTTCTGTAAAGTGCTGTTCATAGGACTTTCTGCTGTGATGAAAATGTTCTGCGTGAGCACTGTCAGCTAGCTATGAGTACCTGTGGAGCATTTGAATGTGGCCAATGATTGAGTAAGTGAATGTTCTCTTACTTTAACTATAGTTAATGTTAACTAGTTTTATTAATTTTTATTTAAATTTAAGTAGCCACAATTCTAGGTGGTTGAAACTGTTCTAAGTGGGACCTATGAGTTCGGTCCCATGATCTACATATTTAAAAGATGTATGTCATCAAATTAAATTAAAAAGGCCAGGTCTCCTGGGGAAAAAAATCAGGAATTAAAAATTCTCAATTTCAAAGGCGTGCAAACTCAAAAAAGAGAGGCTAACGTTTCTTGAATTCCTACCATAGGTCAAACTAGGTAATTGCATAAATTATCATCAGCCAGTAGTTTTAAAGATGGGGAAAAAGGAGATTCACCCAAAACAATCTGAAAGTTACTAATTGGTCACCATTAAATGTCAATGGTAAGGGCCTCCCCCGGTGGCACAGTGGTTGAGCGCTGGTCTGCGAAGCTGCTTGCAGCCTCTGCAGTGCCGGTTTGAACCCCAGCCACGGGTGAGGGACCCACATGGCACGCAGACCTCTCCTGCCGCCCGCTGCTCCCCTCAGCAGTGTATTTCGTTAGTCTGCCTGTTTCTCTTCCCCACTCTGGCTCTGGTGAATTCTCTCACCCTCCCGCACTTCTGACTGTACCCAGTGCTTGTATAAATGAATAAATAAATCTTTAAAAAAAAAAAAAGAAATGTCAGTACAAATTTTTAAAAAAAAAAGTCAATGGTAAGATCTGTTTAAAATTTTACAAATAAGACAAAACATTACTTAAGTATAATGTATGAAAAGTAATATCAATAACTAGTAAGCCTCATTGTAATTACATCATTGAGAAATTTTGGAAAATAATAACAAGAATTTACTGTATTCTCCTTGCATTTCAAAAAAAATATCTCTCATTTTTAAAAAGAGAGTCATAAGAATTTTGGAAGAAAAAAATTCAAAAGAAATCCAAATTTCATGTGAAATAAATATGTGTTTATCGTTCTAACGGTGGGTCATTATAAGCAACAATGTTGAAAAGTCTTGAAAAAAATTAATTTACAAATGCCCAGTACAATTTTTCTCTAATATAAAACCAATAAGTAATTATTCTCTGAAATCTCAGAATTTTCAGCAGTTTTAGTCATGTGTGATTCAAGTTCAAGTCTATTTTTATATGATTTGAAACATGACAAATCTGTCATTGAGTGACAAAAGTGTTCTACAATTGATTGTGATAGCTATGAACATACTATAGACAATTTAATTGAACACTTTAAATGGTTGAATTACATGAAAAATGAATTCTATATCAATAAGTCCTTTAAAAATAAATAGATAAGTCATAAGAAAAATATATTTAGCGTATTTTAGTAATTTATAAGTAGTAGACTTCTCTGAATTTGTGGCATTTCACATGAGTGAGTAGCAAGAAAATTTTGCCTTAGAATTTCCAAGATTTGTTCAATACAACCTTTTATTTCTTCTTTTTAAGAAAAAAAAACTGCTTTGAATATCAGCCTCAAATATTCAGGGTACTAATAAATAATCTTGTTTTACAAATAATTGCCCAGTTAGCGCAGTATAAGAAAATTATATGTTTTCCACTAGATGGCACTAGTGTGCAAATAGTATTGCTAGAATCACACATCAGTAAAATTATTATATTATCATATTGTTTTCATTCTTTCATTCACCAGCTAAGGTGAATGAAAGATAAGACAAGATACTTTCTTAATCTGCTAAACTTCAGTGTAAAAGAGTCCTCATTTTACAGATATGAAATGTAATGCAAGGAGAAATTGTAACAATCTTGTGCTAAATTAGGGTGAAAACCCAGAGTCCTGTCTCAGTTGCCATCACACAACTATACAATATGAAGAGTGGGGAACTGGCTACCATAATGATAGGAGGGGAGAAAATTCATCTCTATTGTGTTGTTACACATATATTTTTTCATTTGATCCTTAAACTGTTAGCTCCATACCTGTTAACTCATAAAATCCTAACTATACAAGTCAAAACTATGAACTTCATGAGGCAAGAAGAGAGATCACTCTATACTATGTTACTTGAGTCGGAGGCAGTGTAGAGAATCAAAAACACTGTTACCTCAATGAGTGGATGAATTAATTGGCTAAACTTACCAATTACCCCATTTTGTATGTAATATTTTTCTACTTCACACCTGAGGAAACCATCATTGGAAATGTGAAGTAACTTGTTCAAACGCTTACAGTTCAGTGGCAAAACCTTTGAACACTATCTGACATCATTTTGCATTATATATTTACATATAAAATTTCCACACTGAGGGCAGGGATCATGTCCTTCCTGTTCTCAGTCACATAGCTCCTCCCTCGGAACTGGTGCATAGTTGCACACAGGAAATAATATTTATCTATTTGAGTGCAGAGCAAAAACAAAAACAAAAACAAAAACTCCTAAAACACAGGTTTTAGGAGTCCCACCTTAAACATTCAAGGAGTTTTGCTCCTGCACCACTTATTGATTTATTCCTTTCACTCCCCAATATCACTGCTAAATGCAGGTCTTGTTTATGCATTTCTGTTAGTTTTCTGCTGACCACTCCTCTAACACCCATTAACAAGAAGCTTTAGATGTCCATAAGCATTTCCAATTTTGCCTTCATCTTCCCATTTTTCCTAGTTCCACAGCTAAGCAGTCCACACTTTTTGAGCTCATACCCCCCCGGGGTGCTCAGGCGAACTGAGTAGCTCAGCAGACAGCGTTGGTTCTGGGTTGGCTCTGGGGTATCTGTATTCCATGGGCCTCCTTTCTCATCACTAACCTGAAAACTCTTCCTTTTGTAACAGGGTGGTCCCCAGGAAAGGGGGAGATTCCAGGTTTCCTGCCCTACCCAAGAGAGGGTGGAGCTGAGCAGGGAGAAGAAGCTGCAGAAGAGACTGAGGAAGGAAGGAAGCAGGATGGAGAGCCAGAAGGAGACCTGGAGGAGGCACATGGAGCCAAGAGACACGTGAAGAAACTGCGCTTGCCTTTTGGTCGTGGACTGGGTGACACAGATGTGGATAAGACCCATGGGGAGGTGACAATGGCGGTTTTTGTCTTGATTTTGATTTTGCTCTTTTCCCTCCAGACTTGTCTGGTGGTTTCTGATCCTTTTCTGTGGTCCCCACTGGAAGATGCTTTAGATTTGTGGCAGGCTTTGGGGCCTTGCTCTGGGCCAATCCTGCTTGGGTGGACTTTTACCCACCAGGGGACAGGTAACTTTGGGTGCTTGATTTAGAAACTATATTCTCTGCCTTTCCTATATTGTTTCCTACTTGTCTTAAAATTCCTTCCCATTAAAGTCTCATATGCTTTGTGTTGATGGGGCGGATGGCAGAACCCATTTAGAGTAGGCAGATTTGCAGGGTCTGGGCTGCCCTCTCCCTGCCCTGTAACACTTTCAGCTCTACAGCGCCACAATTTCAAGTCTGTCCCATAGCAGTCTTCTAATGAGTTTATGACCAACAAGGTACATTCGGGAGAAAAATCCTTGGGGTCTGGGCATGGCGTAAGCTCGGATATCGGAAAGCCTTCGCTCCAGGCAGGGATGTTCTGGCCCAGGGAACTAGTGTCCACGCCTGGGGCTCAGCTGGGGGGCTTTGGAGCCCGGGACTGGCTCAGGCTCCCCCGGGCCGCCAGGGGGCGCTGCAGGCAGCTGTCCCGAAACAGACAACCAGCTCGCCGGGGCAGCGCCGGCGCCGCTCTTGCGTTTTCCGGAAGCGGAGCGCCGAGCCCGCAACGGCCGCTGCGTGTGCGACAGCGGCGGTGGCGGGCAGGGCGGAAGGAGGGGCGGAGGGGGACCCGGGCCCGGCTCCCGCGCCGGGGTGGCGCGCCATGGACGAGGCTGGCAGCTGCGCGAGCGGCGGAGGCTTCCGCCCGGGCGTCGACAGCCTGGACGAGCCGCCCAACAGCCGCATCTTCCTAGTGATCAGCAAGTACACGCCCGAGTCGGTGCTGCGGGAGCGCTTCTCGCCGTTCGGGGAGATCCAGGACATCTGGGTGGTGCGGGACAAACACACCAAGGAGTCCAAGGGCATCGCCTTCGTCAAGTTTGCCCGCAGTTCGCAGGCCTGCAGGGCCATGGAGGAGATGCACGGCCAGTGCCTCAGCCCCAACGACACCAAGCCCATCAAGGTGCGACGGCCGGGCCGGGGCGTCCGCACAAACGGTGTCCGAACGGGGAGGGGCTGTTCGGGGCGCGTCTCTCGCGCCTCCCTTCGCCCGAAACTGTGTCGGGGTTGGGAAGGGGTCGCACGTTTGCCCCCAGTGTCGGCCCAGGCGGCGCCTGCACATCTGGGCACGGAGGGGGAGAGGCGTTGGCAACGCGCTTTTCAACCCCGGCCAGGCTGCACCCGGGGGCTGGGTTGGGGTTCCCCGGGTGCTGGGTTGGGGTTCCCCCGGGGCGAACCCAGACTGGGCCTCCCCGCCCTCCTGCCGCCACTCCTCCGGAACTCTGTTGCCACGCCCAGCTCTGGCCTTGGCCTGCTGCGATGACTGCTCAGACTAGGTTTACCGTTAGGCGGACAAATAGCTTTGCTTGTCCTCAGGTAGGTGTGGAGCTTAACAACTTGATAAAATACACGCGACTGTGGCTCGCTGGTTTCCCCGGTACTAGAGGAGAGTTTGCTTGTGTATGGTATTTAAGTGCAGGTGGCTAAAACTGCTATTATAACTGATCATCATCGTGCTATTCTATTTTGAAAATCGTTTTATCCAGGCCCGATCTGTGAAGGTATTACGTAGCAAACGTTGTGTTACTGCCACTTTTCTTTGAAAGCACACTCAGGTAAACTGCCTTAAGAGCCAGATCATTGGGATGGAAGTGTAATTGCATTCTTATTAAATGCCTCTTTGTATACTCTTTAGTTCACTTTGGTGGTATTTCTGTTAAGTTTCTACACTTAACAGAAAATTAAAATAAAAATTGTAAAATTAAAACAGCTGTCTGTAAAATTAAAATAACTGATATAAGACAAAAAAGATCATCTTGAGGGTTGTTTGACTTAGTCTGTGCTTCTAATGCAGTGCATAGCACAAAATAAGCCTTCACTATATAAGCTATTTTTATATATAGCTTTATATATATATAGCTTTTTTAATACATATTATATATATAGCTATTTCTAAGTCATCTGTTTCTATCTAGTTATATTAAACTTCTTTGTCAGGAGTAGCCAAGATGTCATTGCTTTCTTGTTATGAACTCAATTCATAATCTAATCCTAAGAGTCTACAGTTACTTAAATTGTTCCCTTCCCTTGTCCTATAAAAACAACTGCTGTATATATAATTGTGTTGAGCTCTTCACAAAGTTATCTTTTCCTCAAATTGTTTTTAGTACAGAAAGCTGAGAAAAGTATTAATCATATGAACTTTTAATCATATTAATCAAATGAAAGACTCAGATGTATCAATCTCTGGAGACCTCTGTTCCTGCATCCGCAAAAGAAAAGGAGCCTGGGACTATACCAACAGCATAGTAGTAGACAGTCGACATTCCCTCTCTGCCCAGTTCTTTGTAATGATGAGAACAGATCATCAACAAAATGAATTGTAAGGCCATGGCATAAACTAAATCAGGGATTCGCAAACATTTTCTGCAAAGGGCCTCTTCACAAATCTTTCAGGCTTTGTGAGCCACATGTAGTCTCTATCACATGTTCTTTGTTTTATGTTTAGTAATGTAAAAATTCTTATATCATGAACTGTGGAAAAACAAAATATTGTAGTTTCCCAACTCCTGCATTAGATTGGTAATTTTCCTCGCTTTCCAAGTATAAAGTAGGTGGGGTTTTTATTCTGTGAGTATGACATTACAACTGAGATTTTAGACAACCCTCCCCAAGATGCCTCAAATTTGAAACTTGTCCACCCCCGTTCCTTGATTAAATTTCTACAGAAGAAGTAAATGTCCCAAAACTATAATGTGTCCTCCCTGTTAGCCACTGAGAAATTAAATTATTCCCTAGGATAATTGAGGTTGATAAGTCTGTTTTACAGACTTTTTTTTTTTTTAACTAAGTTTCAGCCAAACAATTGTTTCACTATAATACCTAGCTAGACAATGCCAGTTCAGGAGCTACAGTGTGGGCTGTCTTCCACTGGAATATAGGTTTGGGGTTTTTGTTCTTGTTTTTTTGTTTTGCTTTGTTTTCAGTATTTCCAGTTTAATTCATTCATCTTCGATTTTTCTCATGTTTTTTGCTTTTACAAAGTTCCAAAGCATCGATAAGAAAAATAAGAAAATGATAGCATCAGACCTACCTCCAGAAATGGTTATCAAAATAAAACTGATTCTGTGACATTATCTTAGAAAAGGGGTAAACCTAGAAAATAAAAGAGAAAAATCTTGGTTTTAAGCTTTGTAAGGATGCCTCTTATGTAGAGCCCTTAGTCTGTGACCATAAAATCTTGAGAAAGTATCCATTAAGTGGTTAATTATTATTTGTGTGTTCTGCTGTCTCCTTTATCAGAAATTCAAAACAGCCTTCTAAAATTTCAAAATTTTTGATCTCACGGGACCTTACTTGTTCCTTTTTTCTCTCTAGTATCTTTCCATATACTTAAGGCTTCCCTAATTGTATTTCCCTGTTGATCATTTATTACTTATATATACACTAAACTAATCTTCTGATGGCCCATTTCTGTGTTATTCAGTATTCCATTAATAATACCTCATACAGTGCTTGAAATAGTTAAAATTGGAAGTAGACTCTGTAGGGATGTGTCCCCAGCTGTGTCTTGTAATCAAGTCCCTACACTTCTGTGACAGCTGTTTTCCAAGTATACACCGCGGCCTTTTTCAATACTTCTGAAGTCCTTTCTAAGTTCAGTGGCCTTTTAGTTGTTGCTCCTACTCTGTAATTCCATAGGAACATATAAATAATTCCATATCCTAGAAATTCTAGCATTCTTCTGGGATAACAAAAACAACAACAGCAAAAAATTTACAAATGAAGCTTTACTACCAAGCAAATTAAATTCCAAATAATAATTTAGTGCCACAAATGATGTTTCAATATATTTGAATTGCCACTAGTAGTAAAATACAGCCTCAGGTCAGTCTTTTATTCATATAAATCATTTGGATGGTCACTGAAATGATCCTGATTATGATTATATTGCCTATTTAAAAAGATTAATAGTAGAAAGAAAACAGTTTTCAGTGTCACCATCTGAACATTTGGAAACCACAGTGCAGCGATATGAAAGTCATTGCAATACAATTGCTTCAAAATTTTCTTTTGATAAGACCCTATTACATGGTATTTATTTTTTTTTTTTTTATAGAGGCATGTTTTTATTTATTTATTTGTTTTGTTTATACATGCACTGGGTACAGTCAGAAGCGCGGGCGGGTGAGAGAATTCACCAGAGCCAGAGTGGGGAGCAGAGCAGGCAGAAGGACCGAAGTACACTGCTGAGGGGAGCAGCGGGCGGCAGGAGAGGTCTGCGCGCCATGCGGGACCCTCCTCTGGTGGCCGGGGAGCAGCCGGGGTTCGAACCGGCGTCGCAGAGGCCGCGGGCAGCTTCGCAACCGAGCGCTCAACCGCTGCGCCACCGGGGAGGCCCTACATGGTATTTAAGCTAACATGATGAAGTAAGTACACTTAAAGAATAAACAAACAGTTGACTAATTTTTGTTTTTTAGGTTTTCATTGCACAGTCCAGATCATCTGGAAGTCATCGAGATGTTGAAGATGAAGAACTCACAAGAATCTTTGTTATGATACCAAAGTCCTACACAGAAGAAGATTTACGGGAAAAATTTAAGGTGCTTATTTTTCTAGCCAGCTAGCATCTTTGATAACTCATAATCCTAAATTAGTTGTATGGTTACTAAATCTGAAGTGTTGTTTGAATTAAGTCATTACATTTGTAGTAGGGAAATAAATAGCTATTTTTAGGTCATCTTTTTCTATCTAGTTATATTAAACCTATAATGAACTACTTTTTAAGTTAAATAATATATAAAAACTGAAAAGTTTAATGATGGTATTTTTCTAACCAGACTTTATAATGAAAATGAAGATTCAGAAAAATGTAGCATAAAACCCATAAGGTTACATACCTAGTAGTAAGTAGTAGAGCCAAGATTTAAATCCAGAGCCTGTTTTTGGTCTGTAACATTTTAAAACATACCTTATCACTCCTCCTCTGCTACCTCTTGTTAGAGGTGACTCAGGCAACCCTGAATGTGTGAACTGTATCACCTAGTACTTATTATAGGCCTGTGTACTGTTGTACTTATTCACAAAAAGTCTTGTTTTATAGTTTTTAATCCTAAAATTAGACCTCTGGAGGGGGTATTGAAATTAACTATAGCTCTGAACTATAGCAAGATTACTGTAAATGAAATTTGAATGAAATTTTGAATCTTTTTGGCTGTTGGCTTTTTATGCAGTAAAATATACTTTCATTAAAATGATTAAAAAGCAATTTTAAAATTATTAGGAGTTAAAATATTTTATCCTTTTCTACTACTCCTCTTCCTAATAGTATGAATCCAGGTAGGCAGTAAGCAAGAAAGAAAAACACGTAGTAAAAAGTAATTTTCAAACTTCCTTTGTTCTACCTCTATTGAGAGCTGAATAAAATACTTTAAATATGACAATACAGAAATATATATCCAATTTTATTCCAATAGTAAAAAAAAATGTTTCTTACCTTATAATTATAAATATCATTTTGTAAGTGAACAATTAGAGCATTTTTATCTAAATGCACAGGAATTAAGTTGTGGCTGATTACATGAAAATTTTATTTTGTTTATTTTTTTAAAGATTTATTTATTTATGCGTACAAGAGCTGGCATACAGGCCAGAGATGCCAGAGGTGAAAGAGTCACCAGAGACAGAGTGGGGAACAGAACAGGCAGTCTGACTGAAATACACTGCCAAGGGGATCATGGAGAGAGACAGGAGAGGTCTACTGCACCATGTGGGTAGCTCCCTGGCTGGCCGGGCATCGAACTCATGCTGCAGTGGCCGCTGGTAGCGTCATAGTGCAGTGCTTAACCTCTTGCACCACCAGGGAGGCCAACAGAATTTTATTAAAATGAATAAAAAATACTAAGATTTTATAATCCATATTTTTGTTCAACATTAAAAGTAGACATTTACTACTTCTAAACTTTCTGAGTAAATCAGTGTTTTAGTCATACATTTTGAGAGGCTCTTCTTCAAAAGAATATACAATCATTTATGCTCCTATTAGGAGGCAGCCAAATAATTATGCTAGTCTCTACTGAATGTTGAATATTCTGACCCTGTGTAAACACTTTAAGTGTACCAGTTCATTTGTCTCATAAAACGGCCCAATGAGATAATATGACTGTTGGTCCCATTTTATAGATAAAGGGACAGGTACAGAGAAGATAATTAACCTGTACAGCGACTAACCCAAGATTTGAATGTAGGTTTGACTCTAGGGCCTCTGCTGTTAACCACTACTGACCAAACTTTGGAACTATCTGAACCACATACAAATTCTTACTCTCCCTTAATAATTTAGGCAAATTATTTGGTTTTCCTAAGGTTCAGCTTCCTTGTCTGTGAAATAAGTGAAATAAGTGAATTAAGTCTGTGAAATAAATAATAAAAATTATTGACAGTAATATAATTATTGAAAAATTATTGACAGTAATGTAATATATATGTAGACAAATGCATAGAAAATAAAAATTATCATTACTTTAGTTATGTTACTCTTTTATGTCATTATTATGGTTACTTGTCTAGTGCCTCATTAGTTTGTGACTTTTTATTTCATTATTAAAAGTGAATGTTATTTTAACTCTTAATTCCTTTTCTGCAGATAAAATTAATAAAATGTTCAGTTATTAATTTTTATTCTAAGATCCCTTCTTTTTTTAACTTTCATAGGTGTATGGAGATATCGAGTATTGTAGCATTATTAAGAATAAAGTCACTGGAGAAAGTAAAGGTTTGGGCTATGTTCGATATTTAAAACCATCACAAGCTGCCCAGGCAATAGAAAACTGCGATCGAAGTAAGCATGTGTTTGTTTAGTATAATTAAAGATATATAAAAATTTTTGATCACTTTCAATAACAACCTAATACCGGTTTTCGCTATCACCGCACCTGCAAATTTAATCTAAGTGATGGGAGTTTAAATATATACATCCTAAAATGAAAATTATTTTGGGACTATGTTTAAAATTTAATTGGGGCTCTGTTTTGAAGAGAAATATAAATAACTGTCTTAACTCTGTAAGTGAAAATGCTTATTTATAAAGGATAAAATTTATTAATTTGCTAGCATAGGTGAGTAAATATACATAGGATTAATTTTAAGCTAGAGTGACTTGAATTGGATTTCCTATGGTTGCTGGTACCGAAATGAAGAATAAGAGTTTTCAAGAAGTCAAGGAGAACACTTTTTGTTTTCATCCTTCTGGTTATATTGACCATTAGTGATGAGATGTGGAATAAATTATAAAAATCTATACATACTGGAAAGAATTACTGTTTATCAGTAGAATTCATAAATAACTCTAAGGTACTCGCCAAAATTTTTTCTCAGACTTCTGAATTTTTCAATCAACCAGCATTAACAGAATGCTTGTGATGTTATCATTATGTCAAATAGAGGGATACAAGTGGAATATAAAGCAACCCTGGATTTAAGGAATTTATAGCTATTTGAATGCCCTAGATCTAGTAGGTAAAAGATAGAGGTCTTTGAATGCAAGAATATGTCTTGTCTTTTTCTGTTATCCCAAATACCTTTGATAGAGACTTTATTGAAGTCTCTGTCAAAGATGCTACCAATTATAATAGACTCAACAAAAATGTATCAGATGAAGATGTTCTAAAGTGTATGGTACAGCATATCCGTGTTGAAAAACAAGTACACAAAATGAACATGGGAACGCATTGGGGAGGTAGGATTTGCATCTGGTGAAGAATAGGTGAGACAGATTGTAAAAGCACTGTTGACAAAGGCACAGTGTTAGGAATTAATATGTCTTTGCCCAGTACTTGAAGGCAACAGTCTGAATAAAGGCTTCTAGTCATTTTGAGAAATTACAAGACAAAGTTAAGGTTTTAGACAGGGGTCTAAGGGTTATCTCCAAAAGGTGGGAGCGGCTGGGGTTCTATGAGCCTTTCTTTGTCCGGAGACAAAGGGATTCATTGAAACATTGTAGTTAATTGAAGAGAATCTGAATTAAATAGAGAGTCAGGAAAGTTAGAGTGAAATAAAACATATTCTAAGTGTATTTCAAAGGGAAGTCATCTTGATAAAGAATATAAGAAATGCTTATAGAATTTTGATGTTGAGAAACCTAGGAGAATAAATGACCATATCATCTGAAGTAGGGGGAGACTGAAAGGGATATCTTACAATTACTGATCTTTCACATCTACATTCACCCATAATTTGGCATCTTTCTGTTTCTCATTTGTTCTTTGTCATTTTCAAAGAGCAAAGAAGCAGATCTGGTGGAGATATAGACTTGTTTTATGAAGTTATTTTTATAAAGCTAAGTTAGGCTCTAGCAATTAAAGTCTATTTGCAGATATGTTAACTTTGCTGTGAAGTTTGAAGTTGATGGATTCTCTTTTTCAGGTTTTAGGGCTATCTTGGCTGAACCTAAAAATAAAGCATCTGAATCCTCAGAACAGGATTATTACTGTAATATGAGGCAGGAAAGTTTGGGACATGAATCTAGAGTAAATATGTTTCCATTTGGTAAGTAAGCCCCCTTTATTTTAATAAGTTAAATAGTATATGCACTTTGGTTTGTGTTTTGAAAAATGATCAGCAGTCTGGAAATTTCACTTAATGAAAAACAAGTCTTAATATAGTGTCTTTTGGTCATAGCTTCTCATGTCCTTAATATTTAATACTTATTTTGTTAATTTATTTCTAATGATACTTTTTCCCATGGTTTTGCAATATCTCAAATGAAACCTGATAGTGGTTTCATCACTGCCACATATTTGGGTTAGTTTCTTCCTCTGTAGCTGAACACAAAGTAAGAAGAGACATATACATGTATCCCCTCACTAAGAGTCCTACAGTTTTATCCCTAAACTACTGTTGCTTTAAAATTAGAGCTAGATTTAAAAAAAAAAAAAAAAGAGGAATGACAAAGTAGAAGCTTGAAAAGGGAAAAACTAATGATAAAAGTAGAGCCTGTGAATGTTATATAATACAAGCTTTGAGGTAAAATACTTGCCACATTTTGTATTTTTACATACTAAAAATATTGCTGTGAAATTAGATACACATTTCTGCTTGTATTTCTGTGTTGAAAGTTGGGGAATGGAATTGTTTGTTTTCTCATCATTGGTGCCTTCTGATGGTTCTAATGACCAAGAGCATGCTGCAGAATACAATGCCTTTGCTCAATGCGGTGGGCTTATTGACAGTTCTTTTTTTTTTTTCTAGTACCTAAAATAATACAAAAATTCTTGAATGTATAGAAATTTAAAGATTTACCTGTTTTTTTGTATCGATAAAGAACAGCAATCTGAATTTTCAAGTTTTGACAAGAATGACAACAGAGGCCAGGAAGCAATCTCCAAACGCCTGTCAGTTGTATCAAGAGTTCCTTTCACTGAAGAGCAACTTTTCAGCATTTTTGATATAGTGCCAGGATTGGAATATTGTGAAGTTCAACGAGATCCTTATTCAAATTATGGTAAAATAATGTCTATATTATTTTTAAATATATTTATTTTGAAAAGATGGCTTTTCTCCAGTGACATATTTTATGTCACATCCTGTCTATGATAATGTTTTCTTTTTCTCCACTTTGAACTTCCAAATACAGTGATTCCTTAGTAAATAAACCTCTAGATTATAATTCCTGTGTATAGTCACTTAAAAAAAAATTTTAACTCCCACAAAATAGAGCATTCTGTGTTTCCATTTATACAACAAAAATACCTCAGGATAGAGTCTCCGAACTCTCTTGATAAATGCTAGGTTAAATTATAACTTAAAGGAAACTTAAAGTTTCCTCTTCATCCCTTGGACTCTTTTGCTTAAACTTTATACCTTTTTTTTCATTTCAGGCACCTAACTGTTCTACTGCTCTGTCTACTTCTTCCCAGTCTTAATAGCAGGAAGACTCTGCTGTTGCCATTTGCATTTACTAATTAGTTAATTGATTAAGCCTATTATTTAGTGTTAGCTTAATCTATCTTTGTATTTTGTTTTTATGCCTTGAGATTATTCTTTAAGACTTTTTTTAAATGGAGGCACAGTGAGTAAAAGTTGGCTTTCCATTTTGTGTCAGACTTAGATGTGAATCCCGTGTAAAACAGCTCTGAGACCTTGATAAATTGTTTATCATCTCTGAACCTCTCTTTCTTCACTGATAAATAAGATTATTAGCGTTGTCTATTCCAAGGTTAGATAAGAATTGCAAGTAATATATGTAAAATACCTACTGCAAGTACTGCAAGTCCTGGTACATAGTGGTAGACACTTAGTAAATATTAGGATTTGTTGACTTATTTTAAAGAATTGGAGGTGAGGGGTAATACAGAGTCCATATAAGGACTCCACTGTAATATCCTCCCTTAGCTAAATGCTCTCCAAAGAAATGTTAAATATGTGATTCTCGTCTGACACTCTCTATGCCTTACTTTTATTCTTCATGTAATTTTTCTTCTCTACCACTGCAGCTAGCCAAAATGACTACATATTCTTTTCAGATATCACTTCTCATTTCACTTCCTACGCAGAATGATAGGGAAAATTTTAAAATTTAAGAAAAGGTGGTCCATTTTTAGGTATGTCTATCATGTAAGAAACGCCAGTATCCTAAAATTACATTCATTAAACAGAACTTATGGTGATATTCCACTTTCCTTAAAACGTGTTCACATATTACCAAAATCTGGAAACTTTGTTATCTAGAACACAAATGTTGCACACATGCATAGGACACCTTTGTTTTTTGATCCATTTGGTTCTCTGTTTCCTAATTGTGTGATATAGGGCATTTCTCCATTGTTTTGTTTCTGAGGCAACAAACACAGGCTTTTGGTGTTTACTCTGCTTTCATTTTAATTCCTGTATATGCTTTACTTTGTTTTAGGTCATGGGGTGGTACAGTACTTCAATGTAGCATCAGCCATTTATGCAAAATACAAATTACATGGATTTCAGTACCCTCCTGGGAATCGAATAGGTGTTTCCTTCATTGATGATGGGAGTAATGTAACAGAGTAAGTACCATTCCAGGAGTACCTAAAGCCACGCTTTGGGTGTACATGGTTTTGACTTGAAGAATAAAACTAGAAAAACAATGACCTCTCAGATGAAGAAGTCACACAAAACAAGTTACTATTAAGAGACAATATTTCTAGCTTTTTGTAAATTATCAGTTATTATCTCCAGTCTCCTTAGAAAAATGGCAACGCAGATGGTAGCTGCACAGCTTGCGTCAATGGTGTGGAATAACCCAAGTCAGCAGCAATTTCTGGTAAGTAGGTAAGAATCTAACCTTTATAATACTTCAATAAGGTAGAGAATTATTGTGGCCTTAGTTCATAACCTACATAGAAAATTTTCAGAGCTAAAGTAAAAGACCACGTCGGTACCGTGATATACATCTGTCTTAGCTCATGGCTTAAAATCCCTAAAGTGCAGTTTTTTTTTTCTTACTTTGTGCTTAACTCTTCAACAGCAGTTTGGAGGAAGTTCTGGATCACAGTTGCCTCAAATCCAGACAGATGTTGTACTTCCATCATGCAAAAAAAAAGCCCCTCCTGAAACTCCTGTGAAGGAAAGACTTTTTATCGTGTTTAATCCTCATCCTTTACCTTTAGATGTATTAGAGGATATATTCTGGTAAGATTTCAACTTCACAAAATCTTATTTTGTAGTATAATTTGTTTATTATACTATATTATAGTATAATTTGTTATAATGTGTTTAGGCATGCTCAAGGTCTTGAAACTTCCTATCCAGTAGGAACCTATCTCTGGCTTAAAAAATTCCTTATTTGGGCCTCCCCGGTGGCGCAGCGGTTGAGCACTGGGTTGCGAGGCTGCGGGCAGCCTCTGCGGCGCCAGTTCAATCCCCAGCTGCTTGCCGGCCACCACAAGAGGGTCCCACATGGCGCGCAGACCTCTCCTGCCGCCCACTGCTCCCCTCAGCAGTGTACTTCGGTCCTTCTGCCTGCTCTGCTCCCCGCTCTGGCTCTGGTGAATTCTCTCACCCTCCCGCACTTCTGACTGTACCCAGTGCTTGTATGTATAAATAAATAAATAAATAAATAAATCTTTTTTAAAAAAAAAATTCCTTATTTATATCACCTTTTAAAATAGATGATCATTTTCTTCTCTCCATCATTTACTTTTATTTTTCTTTTGAAGACATAAAACATAGGATTGTTTTGGAGAGCTACTTGCATAGAATGAACAAATTACTTGTTTCTTGATGGAAGATAATTCTGCATAAATCTGTCTAGAATTCTTTTCATGTATCTTTTCCTTTATAGTTATAGTTCAATTAAACAGTGTTTACTGAGCATCTTCTATTTTGTAGGCATTAGTGGAGCCTTACGGATTATGTAAGCATACTGAGCAAACAATTACTTGATTCTAAGGCGTAGTATATAATAAATGTAAAAAAAGAAAGGGAGAGAAAGCCCTTGTTAATTTCTGTTTTCGACCTCTTCCCTTAGCTTTTTCTGTTTGATCTTTTCCCTGTTTGCCTTGGTGATTTGAAAAGATAAATGGAAACCTTACTACAGAGCTGCACAGAGTATCAGGGATATGGTTCAAGTATTTTATTTGCTTTATTTCTTGAGCCTCTCCTCCATGTTAGGCAGGTACTGATTAGAGACATTGTGTAAATAAAACTTTATTATGTAAACAAACATTATAGTCTGTGTCTTCTTAGAGCTAATGTCTGTATAGGAGATGGACAAGTAGATTGGAAATTGCAACCAGTCGAGATTGGTATTGTGAAAAAGAATATACAGGCTATGAAATACTTAGCAGGAGTACCTACCATAGAAACTGAGAAGACTTCTAGAACCTGATTGATAAAAATAACTCAGTCAGGAACAGAAGCTGGGAGTGGGTTATTCTTACCAGAGAGAATGTAATAAAAGTCATTGGAATATAGAATTTGAGAAACTGAGGGAAGATGAAGCTGGTGAGAACAAGAACCTTGTCAGGAAAAGCCAGAGAGATACATTAGTAAGTTTGTCCTTAGAGCAATGAGGAGCTGCTTAAGAGATTTTTAAGGAAGAAATAACCATATTTGTGTTTTTTGTTTTTTGGTTTTTTAAAGATTTATTTATTTATATAAGCACTGGGTACAGTCAGAAGCGCGGGAGGGTGAGAGAATTCACCAGAGCCAGAGCGGGGAACAGAACAGGCAGACCAATGAAATAGAGTGCTGAGGGGAGCAGTGGGCGGCAGGAGAGGTCTGTGTGCCAAGTGGGACCCTCCCCTGTTGCCGGGGATCAAACCAGCGCTGCAGAGACTGTGGTCAGCCAACCGCTGTGCCACCAGGGGAGGCCCATATTTGTGTTTTAGAAAGATCAATTCAGTAGAGTAAGGGGAGTGGTTTGGAAAGGAGCAAGCCCAGAAGTTGTGAAAACTAGTAAAGAAGGTATTAAAGTAACCTAAGGAAAAGATGATGATGATGGTTGGGAAGAGGAAAGTTAAAAATAAGAAGGAAGAGAATTTAACTGATTGAGGAGACATTTAAGAAGATTGACGTGAAATTAGAGATTGAATGTAGAGAAGAAAGTGAAAAAGGAGTTCAGAATGGACTCCAACCTGTAGACCTGAGGAGCTGTATTCATTAAATTCAGTTTGTTGGGTTTTTTTTTTTTTTGCTTTGTTTCAGTCGTTTTGGTAACCTGATTGAAGTTTACCTTGTGTCAGGAAAAAATGTGGGGTATGCCAAGTATGCAGATAGAATAAGTGCTAATGATGCCATTACTACATTACATGGAAAGATCCTAAATGGAGTCAGGCTTAAAGTTATGCTGGCAGATTCCCCAAGAGAAAAATCTAACAAACGACAAAGAACTTACTGATTCTTGAGGTAAGCCTTTTTTAATCTGAATTTAAAGATCCACTGGCAAATAGTATAGCATGGAGTTTCTTTTTAGAGATTTAGATGATGTCATTTAAATATACCATCACTTAAAACTTCACTGATAAAACCTCAGCTCAGGAGTTAATTTTATAAAACCAAAAATTGTTTTTGATGTTTATTGGAAGAGTGTTTTTACCCATCTATAAAATAAAATGAGATTTCATTTTTACAAAATTAATTTTCTGTTTGTGAATGTCTTACATACTAAGAATTTAATTTCTTACTATATGCTTATATAAACGTTAAAATTGAAAAAAAATTCTGAAGATTTTTAACTTGAATAATTAATGTCTTGAATTATGAATTAAAGTCTTTATAAGGAATGTTTTGACTTCTTACTAATAAAATGCCTAAAACACAAAATCAAATGGCAATTTTTTTTTTGGAACTATGAACCTGAATGTTCGGGTTTCTCTGGTCTTATATTTGTGCATCAGAACTACACATTCAGAAAATACTCTCATGTGTACATGTATGTAGAAAAACTATACCAATTTATCAGAAACTTTTGCCAGCTATAAATAATGACAACCATTTGAACTCCTTTCATTAATTTTCAGAAATCAAACTTATATTTCTGACAGTTAATTCATATCTCTTTGTATTGTTCCAATTTTTAGTATATGTGCTTCTGAAGCAAGCACACATCTCCTTGGCTTGAGGAAACATTCTTTAAAGTTAGAAATGTTCAACATTTCCACTTTTTAATCTGTAGATGAATCCTCAGTTTCAAGGAAAACTAAGAGTTTTTCTGGACCCACACACAGCAGCTCCCCAAGTCCACTGCAGTTGGGAAGCACTTGAAATTCAATTTGAAGTTTCTGGTTTGAAAAGTTTTCTTTTCCTTTCAAGTTTTCTTTCTGATTAATTTTAAGAATCAACAAGTATCAGAATAAATTGATGTAAGTCTTGCTGCTGATGACCATTCCTCTATTAGACCAAGCCAGGTGATTGTTAGTTCTTCTTTCCTAGATGGCAGTTGGTAATAGGGAGTTCCCACTGAACCCATTATGAATAAACCTAATTTAGAAAAATTTTAATTGTAAAAACCACTCCCATTATGCCATACAATGTAGAAATACTGAATTGCCAGTGAAAAAGAATTAACAAGTCTTTTCTTATAACAAAGCAAGTATTAGTGTTTACAAATAAAATGTTAAGAATTGAATTCTTTTTTAGACAAGCTAAGCAAATAGCATGCACAAATGTGCTATTTGTGTTTGTATCTGAATATTTCAGTAATGTAGGTAACATTCCTATTATTCAGAGAATCTTTACCCTTAAAAAAGAACAATAATACATCTTCATATGAAAATTTAAACAAGTTACACGTCATAGAGCCTTTCCTAATGATTATTAATATAGGTAGGAAATATTAGACTTAAAAATCAGAAGATCTAGGTTAGAATTCCAGCTGTGACACTTAACTGTCTGTGATTGAGCAAATCTTTTCGCCTTTCTGAAGCCAAGGTTTTTTTCATGGAGTTACTGAAAAAAAAAAAGATCAGCAAAATTCCTTTTTGAAAAAATGCTTTGCAAAAAATGAGTTAAAAATCTTGCATTGTTGACTTCAGTGTAACCTTTGAAATGTCACTCATCCAAATGACCAGAAACTGAAAGTTTATGTTAACAAATTTTCATATGAGAATGAAACTTTATAATACCACGTTTTCTCCTGTCATGGTGGTATACATTCTTCCTAATCCTTACTTTAGAGCACGTGCATATTCTTCATTGTGACTAGTCATAAAATGTAAATCTGTCCTTTTCCCTTTTATTGAACTATATTAATCGTATTTTGGGCAAAGATAAAGTGACATCAGATTAGTTGAAAACAATAGGACATATTTAGCCATATTGATTTTAAGAGCCATTTCGTTAGAGCACAGCTTTTTAATTTTTTGCTGCAATCTTCTATTTGCCATGGACTCCATAATGAATTTCTCTTCCTTTGCTAGTACATTAAATAAATATATTTTTTTAAGATTCAATACAATAAAATAAAAGCTTTCCCAAATTGCAGTAATGATGCGGTAAATTAAAGTCTGGGGTAGGAAGCATTTTTTTTTGATTCTTTTATTTTCAAGAGGACACAAACACTGCTCAAAAGGGTACCTTTTCTCTGAGGAAAAAGCATTGAAATAAGTGAGCTACAACTAGGAAATATGAGAAAAAACTGTTGTAAGAGTATAACTCTTAAATTAGTTTTCAATTTTGAGATGGGTCTGAGGTGTAAATTTTTTTTCTCTTTCAACTTGAGGCAAGGAGAAAATTTAGTATTTCAGAGCATTCTGATTTTGTATTAACTCATAGCATTTCCCCTCCAGAAATTCAGTACCTATTTATATCATTCTTCTGAGTAAGTTGGTTTTTCTTACCTATGATTAAGTAAGCAAATAACATTGCTTATAGTGAAATAAGGGAACAATTTCTAGCATTTTAGGAATACTATATACAACAGCTATTTCCTTTCAGGTGATGATTTTCATACTTGTGTTGTGTTCTTTCTACAGAACAAAGACTAAGTAATGACATAATCCTCATCTGACTGACTGAAAATGTGACTGGACGCACTCCCTGTGGACAGTTGACAGCTTTTTTTTTTCATATACCTGATAGTCTGTGCACAGCATTGTTTTGTCTCGGGAGCAGGGATTGTTGACATGTATTTTTGAATCCATACATTAATGGTTAACAAATATAGTAGTTGTTTTTTAGAGTGAAATGTTGTTATGTATAGCAGAAATAAAGTTTTCTTTGCTTAACTAAATCATGCCTTATTTATGTGAAAGGTGAGACTGAAATAATTTGATAGTGTTTAGAATTTGACTACATGACATATCTCATTGATTTTGAGATGCATTTTTATGTTTCTGAAATTGGGAGCATCTTGATAGAGATTGTGTGTCATTATGTAATTGAGAATCTTTTTTTTTCTTAGTAGAACATAAAAGTGCTTCTTTCAATCAGTTTCATCTTAGATTCAATAAAATATGGTAATTGCTACTCAGTTCTACACATTCAGATTGGCTACTTATATTTAAATCAAAAGCCAAAAGACATCATTAGAAATATATTTTTATAGTTATACCAGAAATTCTTGGTAATCTTATAAAGAACTTTTAAGATTACAAAGCAGTGTTGGTAAAAATTTTTAGGTTTATTGTTAATCAGTCTAAGTAAGCATAAGTAGCTTTGAGGGGTAGACATTTTCTCTTTATAAATACAGAAATATGACTGCTCCCAAAAATGACATGTAGGCAGTTTTCAGACAGACTATGGTAGAAAAAAAGTCATTTCATAAAAGATTTAAAATTAGGAACCCACTCGCTCAAAATTTTTAAAATCCAAGAAGAATTCCTATCAGCCCTGAGGTGAATGATACATATCCAAAAAGGTTTTTCTAAGTTAAGAACTTGGAACCTTAAAAAGACGTAAATGGTATACAATTGCTAAAATATGACTTAATTACCTCCGCATTGTGCCTTTCTCATCCTGAGTTAAACTAAAAATAGTGAAAGATTAAATTCACTGAGCTTAAATAGGGTATTTCATACTTGGACATCTCCATTGAAAAATTAAAATCCTCTTTTAGTCAGTAATTTTAGTAAATTTAAATAAGAAAACTTCCAGGCTTATCTTTCCAGACAAGACTTACTGAATGGGAAATGAACCCAGTATCTATGTGTGAGCCAGAGGGCATATTTTTAAAGAAAAGCAAATGTGCTCTTTGTAAGTGAAAAATTGAAGTGAGGAAAGTTGAGGATTAATTACGAAACAGACATTTATTCATCCCCAATTCATTTCCTACACGCACAATTCCACTTCACAGACCAGAATTGTGCCATACTGGTTATCTGGTTCTACCATTCACTGCTTTAATTCCCCTCAATATTCCTAAACAGTGTAAAAATTAATAAGTCATTTAATGTTATATGTAGCAATAGTAGAAGGAGCTCCCTACTTCCTACCTGAGTCCATTGCATCTTGTTTTAATCCTCATAATGGACAAAATCTAATTCCATATAATTTTCATTTATTCATCCCTAATTTTATACTAGGCCACAGAGAAGTTGAATCTTTCACTTGGTAGTTATCACATGCCCTTCTGCCCTCCACATTTTCTAATTCAGATAAAATAATCCCAATTTCTCTATTCTTCATTTAAAGTCAAGATAATCAGGTCCTACAAACAGTTGTGTTTCAATAAGGTGCTCATCTAAGTTTTTTCTCTTGAGTCCTTCGTATAAATTCTACAAAGACTTGTATAATAGCTCTCTACCTGCAAAACACTGCTTTCTACCTGCAAAACATTGAAACCTTCCTTTGTATTTTCTCTACCAGTTGATTATCACAATGAGCCCTGGTCACTTTGTTTTAGGCATGCTTTTAATCTTAATCCCTTTGATCATTTACCACATTCCTGCATTCCTGTCACAGTTGATCCCTAAAACTTAATCTTAAAAGCCAAATGTCACATTTTTCGTAGCATGAGGAAATTCTAGAACCTAAGAAGTAACATTTAATAATCTAGTGCTTATTATCTTGTCCTAAATATTTACATTTCAAATGCTGCTTGGATTTAAGAACATATTTATATACTTAGGTGTTGTGTACATAACAGTCACTAAAATTGCCAGCATAGTGGAGTTTTTATTTTAAAAAATGCTAAACAATACAGGTTAATAAATTCCTCTTTCAGATATGTGGATCAACTACTAAGTAACATTTAAAATAAGCCGGATCAAAGTTTTCTTGTAAATTCATTGTCAGGTCTTTTATGATCGATTGCAGTTGCTGACAGCAGCTATCAAATTTACTGTTTTTAGAGTTCATGTCTCAAACTATGTTCCTTGAAATACTGGTGGCTTGAGAGAATGTGTTCTTTGAGAAAGAAATTTTTATAGTTAAATGTATTTAGAATATATTGGATTATTACTCAATGTTTTTTGACCTTAAAACTTCTCAAAATCTTTGATAGGTAAATGAATACCATCCCTGAACCTCCCAAAGAGAACCATCATATATACTGTGAAAAATGTTATTAGAAGCACACTAAAAGGGTACCAAGAAATAAATTTTAGGAGGGGTTCTTCTAGGACATATACTGTTTTTTTTTTTGTGTGTGTGGTATGGTGCAATTTTATTTACATGTTTTTGTTCAAAACTTCTTTTTTATTCTACCCTCATATAAAAATGCAGAATACTCAGAAAATTATCACTCAAAATTTTAGGTTTCCCTGAATTTTCATATCTTAATTGGGATCCTTCTACATAATGTTAATGAATCAGTGGAAAATAGAAATAAGAGATTTTATTTTACCACTAGGTGGTGATAAGTCTTGCTATCCAGAAACAGTTGTGTGCAGCATTTCACTGTTATTTAAGGTGCTGAACCTGAAATGATAGGATGTGTGTTGTCAAAAGTAATGGGTCTTAAACCTTGGTATCCACAAAGTTTTTGCAGGTTAGGTGTGCGTTTTACAACCATCACCTAAGTGATTTTGATAAGGTGGTCCTGTCATTGACTTTGCAGTCTACTGACTTAAAAAGATGCCATATGTTCAACTTTAGGTTGGACAATTTTATATATAAGATGGTGAAAAGTGTTCATGTCTTTTTAGTTGGGCACTTTTTAGAATTAAGCAGCTGCTTTTCCCTTAGTATCAATAAGGTTGAATTGCAAAAAAAAAATTGAAAAATACAAGCAAAATGCCAGGCCAGTTTTTTCATGTAGGCAAATATATTTGATGTTTATAAAGAATAGTAATTATTTATATTTTATGCCATTCAAAGCCACCTAATTTTATTTACATTTATTTTTAAGTGAATTATGTTAATAAATTATCAAAAGTTTTAGCCCTGAAAGTGCATAGCTGTATGTCATATTTAAATGACAAAGGAACATAAAGGATATGTAGTTACATCAGCATCTAAAGAAATAAGATATTATAATCAAAAGTGCAGAAATAAATATACCTCTAGTATATGTGTGTGAGCATTCTTGCTAAAGTGAATTCTCTTTACCTCAATAAACCTCATTTGAGAAAAAAATAAAATGAATCCTCTACAAAATATATGCTTTTTAAAAAGTGAATCCTTTTTTGGTGTACCCCTAAACTTATTGATGTATAGGTAACACTAACTTTGAATAAATTCTTAATAAATACACAAAGTAAGGGCAAGAACAAATTTATTATTTATATAATCTTCACACAAGTTATACAGGCTTTCTTCCATATATGGATGGTAAATTCCTTTAAAAATCATAGCAATTATTTTTAAATGATTTCAATAAAGAGAAAACAAAGGTGATCCTTATTAGATAAGTCCATTTTAATATCTGATTTCTAACAAATGGATTGCATTATTTCTTTTTCTAGAAACAGTAACTCAAGAACACATGGATCCTGGAAATGGAAGGTATGGTATTACTAGGGAATCATATAGAAATACTTAGTTAAATATTTAGTTAAAATATGAAGTTCATTTATTCAGTGATTGTGCTTTTGACTAAAATAGAACTTGTCCTCAAGGGGAAATTCCAGGTCTCCCTATAATCGTAGAAAATTGCCAGGCCCTGTGAAAATCCATTTCATTGGTTATCACAAGAAAAGTGGGTTCTATGACTGCCATGTATGAACTGCAACTAGTCTCTGGGCATCAAGGTTATATGAGCTAATGAACCTGCATATTGACCAAAGCTACAACTGCTGTGTCATCCTTGAGACTTCCTTTCCAGCAAAACTGCTGAAGTGGTGGAAAGAAGGCATCAGAAGACTACTTTATGAAAATTATTTGTACTTGAGATACAAAAATCAGAAACTGTGCATAAAGGTAAGTACTTTTTTTCACAGAAACTAGAGGAAATATTGAGCACAGTAGGTTAACCAAAGGTTACTACATGCTTTTTTTTCTGTCTCTCTTTCATGGCTGATTTTGTAGGTAAACAATACTGCTACTAAATGATATCTTGTGCATAGATTATTATTTTCCATCATTAGTAACATAAATCATGGCATTCCTTAGCACAGAGATTTTAAAGGATTGACTTATTCTGTTATTTTTTGTTTGTTTTTTATTTTAAATCCAAAAAGAAGATAATTAAAGCCATGTATTTTAAGTTACCGGATTTAAGTTGTCCACCAACGTACTGGAAGATCTTTCCAGTATGTAAAATTATGTAAAATACATAAATATGTAAAAATACATATTTTCCCTTTCATCATCAATGAAATCTGTAAATTACATTGGATTTTGGCCCTAGGAGGTAGCTTTGTCAGTCATATACTATTGATCCATTGGCATTAGCATGCAGTAACTTAGGAAGTGGTAATGTCACATTTAGGGGAAGATGGAGAAGGAGATAACTATGTGTGACTGGTAGAACTGACTTGGGAAGAATCTGTAGTATTTGCTGAGAGCACTGGGACTGGTTGACCTGCTTTGGCAATGTCAAAACTGGAACAACAATGGGGGGATGTATGCTGGAAGAGATAGCACCCATCTTTGTTTTACTATCACAAATTGCTGCCAAGGTTTATTTACCATTAGCTGCCATGGTGGCTTAACCCTTTGAGCAGAAACTTAACAGGCCCCATCTCCTACCAGTTTTACCTTAAATCTGGTAATTGTAGGCACTGTGGTATAGTCCCAGCTTCATAGTAACCTTCAAGAGCAAGTTTCTTAAATGGCATTAGCATTGCCTCATTTGGATCTGTTTCCTTATCTAGAAAATAAAAGTAATAGACAGTGTATATGCAAATATCTGCAGTCCTCCCAATTTCCTGCAAGCATACCCATGAAACCATTCAAGTAGGAAAACCTAGGGAAGAATAGTGGAAATTGGAAGGAATTTTTACTAAATAAAGCAGTAGGGAGTGGATTTTTTTTAATGACTGAAATTACACACTGAAACAGTTTATCAGTTATGATGACCTCTTTCCTTCCCCTTTCCAGCGCTCCATATTAACCTATGTATAACAAGTCTATACTAATACACTGAGACAGCTTTTCAGAGTTCAGTCGAAAGAATCTTCATTCTGTATTTCTTACCTAGTAACAATGAGTGACAACACTATCTTGAGGTTTTCTTAACCAGGAGAACCACAGCTGACATTTACCTGCCCAGGTTAGGGGAGGCAATGTCATAAAAGCCATCTTACCTACTCTTTTGGTCAGGAGTAGTGCTGAATGACAAAGACAGCATACATGACCCCAAAAGATCTCTTAGCTTCTGCTCATCAGCTAATTTAGAATATTTATAGTAGGATTAAAAATACATATGTCTAAGTTGTTGTTTTCAGCCATTGGCCCCCAAAATATCAGTCTTATTGCAAGGAAATCTCTTACCCTTTTTTACTGTAAGCTCAGATCTGATGGATCTCCTTGACTTTCCTGGAGAAATGAAATGGGTCTAACATTTCTCACCACCTGCAAAATATTTTATCAGCAATTGAGTGGACTAAAAGCAGTCTTCAGAGTCTGCCAGTTCTGCAGCCGGCCTACCTAAATCTTTCCTCATTCAGAAGTGAGTAAATGGGCAAGAGACTTGAACCAGCACTTCACAAAAGAAGGCCAAGAAAGGGTAGCAGGGGTTTTTTTGGGGGGAGGCAGGGAGCATTGGGGTTTTGGCAGAGGAAGAGAGGATTGGGTATATTCCTCATCTTTTCTAAAGAAACATTAAAATGGTCTCTATGTTAGCAGTTAATGAAAGTTTAAGAGGTTTTTAAAAATCTAGTATCAATTATCAAGAAATGTATGTTTAAAACTACAGTAATATGCCCATATACTGTTAGGAACAGCCAATACTAAAATAGTAACAGAACCAGTGCTGGTGTGTGGAACAACAGGAACTCTCATTAACTACTGGTGGGAGTGTAAATTGACTCAACCATTTTGAAAATGAAAACGTTTGACAAATGTCTAAATTTAAAACATACATCTACCCTCAATTCGGCAATTCTACTTCCAAGCATATATCCCGCAGAGATTAAAAACATGTATAAAAACAACAACAAAAAATGTACAAGTATATTCTTGGCATCATTCATAGTAGCCTCAAAGTAGAAACAATCCCCATGTCCATCAGCAGTGTCTGTGTCCAATGAGATACCCAATAGCAAGGAAATGAGAGAACTCTTGGTTACATTTAAAAGTTTGGATGAATCTCATAAATACAGTGTTGAGGAAACTAGTCAACAAAAGGAAATGTGCTGTATGATCCCACTTATAAAAGAATTAGAAAACAAGCAAGAGCTCACTTTAGGCAGAAAAGAATAGGTAAGGGTGACAGGATCCTATGGTGTACTAGAAAACTTGTCTTTCTTGACCAGCATGGTGGTAACTTTGTAACAGCTTTTTGAGCTGTGCTCTAAGGGTAATGCATGTTTTAAAATTTATACTTCAATTAAATTTTTTGTTTCTTAATGAGTTAAGCAAAATCAATAGGAGGCTAATGAGATAAGCAACACTACAGTGTGAGAGAAGAACAATATCCTGAGGCACTTGGAAGGAAGTGCCTTTTTTCTTCCATTGCATGTATAGATTTAGAAGACTAATTACAAAACAGTAATTAGTCATAGAACTAAGGAAGTATACTCCATAACAAACAATAGTGACTACCAAGTGCTTTTCAGAGCCCCGTTGGTTCTCATGACCCAATAAGGAGAAGGTGGAAAAGGGTTTCCCATCCCTCAATTTGTTGATCAAATCAGAGCTTCCTTTGTCAATGTTATATATTGTACTTAATATGCTTTCCTTTAAGAGAGTCTGCAACTTACATGTTACAATAAACCAAAAGATTAAATGTACCCTCAGATGAATTTGCTGAGGAAAGGTAAAGATTTAGAAAACTTTATTACAAAGATTTATCTTCTAATAATATATGTTCCCAAAGAAGACAACAAAACAAATTAATAGAAAACTTTAATAGAAGAAACCTCAGTCTTTTAAAAAAAAAAAAAAAGCTGAAATCTGGAGATCCTCTCTATACATTAAATGCCAGCTGGAATGGAGCAGTGTCTATAGTCTTTTAGTTCAGGATTTCTTTGCTCATCCAAATGTGAAGGTAACAGAAAAACATCCTCTGATGTGCGAGATACTATTCATTTGCCCTTTCTAGAAAAATTTTGCGTGAATATAATCATACTACAAAAATGAATAAAAATGAAGAATAAAATAATGAGAAAAGAAAGTCCAGTTGATAAGTATTGAAATCAGTAAAACTGTTAGGATAATGCAGATAATTGTTTAATGAAATGTTGAAAGTGAGATTTATTAAGTGACTTATCAAAAAAAATGGGTTTTTAGCCCCAGTTTAAGTTAATAAAGGTATTTGGGGAAGGGCATGGTATGAGCAATAAAATTCTTGCTTTTTGTAAAGAAAAGTTAAAACTTACTTTTTTTTTTTTTTTACTTTGAAAGTTAAATATAAGTTTAAGAATCTTTTGAGGGCCTCCCCTGTGGTGCAGCGGGTTGAGCGCTACGCTGTGAAGCTGTCCGCAGCCTCAGCAGCACGGGTTTGATTCCCAGCCGGCCAGGGAGATTCCCACATGGTGAGGCAGACCTCTCCTGTCTCGCCCGCTGCTCCCCTCAGCAATGTCTTCGGTCCGTCTGCTTGTTCTGCTCCCCGCTCTCTCTGGTGAATTCTCTCACCACCACCCTCCCGTGCCACTGACCTGTACCCCTGTTCTTGTATAAATAAATAAATCTTTAAAAAAAAAAGAATCGTTTGAAATCTGTTAAGGTGGTTAATAATAAAATTAATAACAGAATGTCTCCTGTCCAAATCCTTGAAAAAAATGACAATGAGATTGCACATGTGACAAAAAAAGAAAATCATTAAGTCCAAACGTGTTTAAGTTTTAAAACAAAATGGAATGATTTGCTTCTTCCTAGAGACATACTTTTATTTCTTTTTATAATTTTTTTATCAAAGTAACATTGACTTACAGCACTACATGACTCAGAAATATAGGGCCAGGGCCTCCCCGGTGGCACAGCGGTTGAGCGCTGAGTTGCGAAGCTACCCGCGGCCTTTGCAGCGCCGGTTTGATCCCCGGTTGCTCCCCGGCCACCAGAGGAGGGTCCCACATGGCGCTCAGACCTCTCCTGCCGCCCGCTGCTCCCCTCAGCAGTGTACTTCGGTCCTTCTGCCTGCTCTGCACCCCGCTCTGGCTCTGGTGAATTCTCTCACCCTCCCGCACTTCTGACTGTACCCAGTGCATGTATAAGCAAAAACAAGCAAACAAATAAATAAGTAAAACATGCCTCTATTAAAAAAAAAAAAAAAGAATATATTTTAAAAAAAAGAAAGAAATATAGGATCATACCTCTACAATTTTAAATAAAATTCTGTCATGCACATTAACACAAAAAGTACAGGAAGACAGTATAAAGCTAAGTAACAGTAGTATGCTCACTAATAAGACTACAATCAGTAATGAAGGCAAGCCCTAATGTTTATATACAGGATAATATAGGATTAAACTGTAGAGGCCTCCCTGGTGGCCTAGGGACTAAGTCTAGCGCTATCATTTCTATAGCCTGACTTCGATCCTTAGCCAGGGAGTTGACCCACATAAGATGCAGCAGACCTCTCCTCTTTCGCCTCGTGCTCGCCTTAGCAATGTATTTCAGTAAATTCGCCTGTTCTGTGCCCCTCTCTTGTCTCTGGTGAATCCTCTCACCCTTTGCACCTCTGCTTATTCCCCATTTCGTCTGTGCAAAAAAAAAAAAAAAAATGTAGTAATGCAAGGAAGGACCTTTAAATAGTGTAGAAAGGTGGAGACCTTAACACATTTTCTCTGAACTATAACCAAAAAAAAAAAAAAAAGAAGGGAGAATTACCCTCAAAAAAATGAAAAAGGTATAAAATTAATATGTATAGAAAAAAAATTTCCCAAAAGGAATCATTTACAAATCAGATAACAATATTGAATGACAGGCAGCATAGGGGACCCAGAAAGATATTTTAGCTTCTGCACACCAGTCAAGTTGAAATTATTTATATAGCAGGATTAAAATTCAAACAGATGGGGAAAAACCTCAAACGTGTTCTTTCCATCCTTTTTTGTTCTAAAGAAATTGCAAGGAAATCTCTTACCCTCTTCTATCTTTAGCCTAGATCTTGCGGGATACCTTGGATGTCTTGCAGAAATGAATTGGAAAGAAATGAAATACCCACCTGCTTTGTATTACATAGCATCTCAGTGGACTGTGGAAGAGCTGAAAGCAATCCTTGGAGCCTCGTATTTCCCCTGAAATTTAAAGGGCAGCAGTTGTACAGCCCCCTATTCTTTGGCCATGAGGTAATAAAATGTACTAAAGAATGTACTAAAAAAAAAAATCACCTGGAAAATAATTTTAAAACTCTTCTAAACAGCTATTTTGTCAAGAAAAATGCAGCTAAACAGAGTGAAAATAAAATGGCAGGTAAAGGATGTGTTTAAAGCTACCCTGAAAGACAAATGGACAGCCACTGCACTGCATAAAGGGGTAAAAAGTAATTTCAACATGCAATACTAGAAACAAAAGTAACAAAGTTCATTAGAAATAAATTAGAAAAAAGTAAAATCACCACCTCCTGGCCTATGGATTTTTTAAGTAGCTTTTTTAAGTAGCTTAATCTAAAAACACTGAAATCACTAATAATAAAACTAGTGAAAAACAGACTTAGGGCCTCCCTGGGGGCGCAAGGGTTAAGACGCAACCTATGAAGCTATCTGCAGCCACTGCAGCATGAGTTCGATTCCTGGCCAGCCAGGGAGCAACCCACATGGCGCAGCAGACCTCTCCTGACTCGCCCGCTGCTCCCCTCAGCAGTGTACTTTGGTCAGTCTGTTTGTTCTGTTTCCCACTCTGTTTCTGGTGAATCTTCTCACCCCCCATGCCTCTGGCCTATACCTCAGCTCTTGTATGCATAAATAAATAAATCTTAAAAAAAAAAAAAACTTAAAAATGTCATCCTCAATTATATATTTTAAACATCTTATGAAATATACAGTACACAAGTTTGGGAAATCCATGCAGCAAGAATTAGAAGACCTGAACTAGTAAATAGCCAAAGAAAAATGTTGAGGTAGTTAGCAGTGAGCTGTAACTCCTCAGGGAGCCTTGATCATGCATGTTGCCAGACATGAGTTCATTATTCCTGTGATCATAAGTTTTTTCCTACAGACAGAAAAGGTGAGTATACATGTGTTTTTCAGTAGATCTGCCTATTCTGTTTCCCACTCTGTTTCTGGTAAATCCTCTCACCCCCATACCTCTGGCATGTACCTCAGCTCTTGTATGCATAAATAAATCTTTAAAAAAGAAAATGAAAAGTATACTTTATTCCCTAAAGATCATAAACTTTCGTGAGTAAAACCTGTTTATTTTCCTGACTCAAGCACAGTTATCCATGTTGCAAGTTATAGGTACTAAATGTTTATACACCTGGTCTCCTACCTCAGAGGTTCTATACTCTTTTAACCTTAATTTCAGTTTTATGTTTTTGTCTTTTAAAAACCTGTTAGCAACTCAATCATAGTCTGCATAAAAAATCAGTGACAAAAATAAACGTAACATTTACTGAACCTTTACTATGTCACTACTGTAAATCTTAACAATTCTATGAAATTAATACTGTGAAGCATAGAGAGGTTAAGTGAGTTTTGGCAGGGCACATAACAAGTAATGGAACCAGGATTCACACTCAGCAAGTAGGATGCCAGCTCCTCATTTATGTTCATACACTTTTTATATTTAAAGAGCAGGTTTATTAGAAAAGGGATAGGACAGTAAAAGACACTTGCATAGGCACAAGCAGGCAGAAAGAGCTGCCCCGAAAGGGACAGGTTTGCTGAGAGAGGCCTGCATGGTTGCAGACCCGGCAGGGTACAGGTCCCGGGCAAGCAGGAAGGCTGCTGCCCTGCAGGAGAGAGTTGATGAAAAGAAGCACCTGCATAGTCACATGTGAGCAGACGGTATGCTGCCTAAAATCTTTATACATAAGCATGTAACAGTTAATTTTATTTTTACGGGCCCTTGAGTGTGTGGGGTGGGAAGATGTAAGAGGGGGAAAAAAATGTACCTGAAATTAGAGAGATTGGAGAAAGTAAGAGAGAAAAGGATATAGGTGGCAAGGTAAAGAGGTGCTGACTCAGTGGCTTTGAGGTCAAAGCATTGGTTCTTTTGTACAAGTTTATTTAACAAAGATAATTGAGCATCTGTGTACTGAGTGCCAGAGCCACAATGGTGAGAAGGAAGAAAAAAAGGCTGTTTGCCCTTAAGTAGCTTAATCTAATTAGGTCGTTTGAACAAATGGGGTTCTGTGGAGTCAGCTGCCATTTGGGTAAAGCTGGCTGACTCCTCCCAAACCTATCACTGTCAAAGGATTTGTCAGAACAAAGTTCCCTTTTCTGTCCTACTTAATTTGTTCAGAGTTCTTGTTTTGTTTTTCAGGGTCCTTTGGCCTTTTTTTTTTTTTTTTAGATTGATTTATTTGTGTACACAAGAACTGGGGTGTAGGCCAGAGGTGTGAGGGGTGAGAGGTTTGATTCACCAAAGACAGAGTGGGGAGTGGAACAGGTGAATTTACTGAAATACACTGCTGAGGGGAGCAGTGGGTGAGTCAGGAGAAGTCTGCTTCGACTTACGGGTTGCTCCCTGGTTGGCAGGGAATCTAACTCATGCTGCAATGGCTCGCCATAGCTAGATAGCGCTGTGTCTTTAATCCCTGAACCACCAGGGATGCCTGGTCCTTTTGGTTTTTATGGTAAAAATTACAGAAACACACAAGTCATAAGTGTAAGATTTCATCAATTTTGACAAATATGTATTCTTATAACCTGTTGGAGCCTCTTTTCATGGGTCCCTTGTGATGGCAGGGCAAAAACCAGTATCAAATGTAATTATGTCTGTAAAAGCATTAGTAATGTCACACTGATTTTTCTATTGGTATAGATAAGCAATTTTAAAGACAGAAAACAAGAATATTTATTCAACAAATGTTTGTTGAGTGGCTACACATATGAAACTCTGTGGTATTAATGTTCTCTCTGTTGTGGACAACATAATACACCACCCAAATCTTCCTCCAGGACTGAGGCCTTATCCTCCAATTTCTAGGAGGGCTGTTCTGTCCAAAAGCAGAAGTGCCTCACTGAAGAGTTTCCTTGCCTAAAGTAACACCTCCTTCCCAGGGTGCACTGCGTCCAACCACTGGTCAACATGAGGATATGAAGGCAGGGGAATTGCCCAAATTCAAAGCATCTCAGAAGGGTCATTTCTTCAGAGCCTTCCAGATGGCTCAGAATCCATCATAGTACATCTCCTGCCAGTGCCTTTCCCTGCCCTCTCCTCTTTTACACAGGTGATCCCTCCAGGGTCCTTCATGAACCTCTACTTGCTCACCCCAACTCTGCTTCACAGGTAAGTCAACCTAAGCCATCATCTCTCAGTGATCTCACTCTGGAGCCAAGAAGGATCATTGGTTTTCAATTTTTTTTACTATTAAACAAGGCTGTAATTTATAACATCAAAATTTTATTATCACTCCACTAGTCGGCTCCACTTTCTGCTTCTTGATTAGCTAGTATGAAATGGGGAAGATAGACTAACAATGGGAATAGAAATGACATAGGCAGAAGCCAGAGTCTGTCTTGGGAAGGCAAGATTGAGACATAAGACAGGTTTGCCTTTCCATCCACCTCCCTTTTCTTTGTTATTTTTTTGTTCTTTCAACCTCTGCCTTTCAGCAATCCCCTGTGGCCAATATATTCATAATGCATGCCTCTTTCTTTCCCAAAAGAGTAACTCATTCTAACTGAGGTGTTAGGACTTAATGTGCCATTCTCTTTAAAGAGTTTGCAGTAGAAAGAAACTTGGTTTTTGAGGCTCACTATGGCTCAGAGCACTCCCACAGATTGGCAAAAGGAAGATAATGAATCTGTCGGCATTAGTAAGATGGATGTTTTTGGTACCCTGCTGAATCATCCACGTAGGTAATATACTCTTTCTCCATTT